CTCGACAGAAGGTTCGGTGGCTCTCGCCGTGCTACTGCTTTCTTCGAGGACTGACGGATATTCGGTTACTTGTGTATAATTGGGAATGCCTAGTTCTAGGCCCATGCGATTGTCTTCTAAGTAGGCCGGTTTCAAACGGTCGATCTTAACGGTGTCTTTGCGGCCATTTTTTATAAGACAAAGAATTTATCCATACGTTTAATGACTTTATATGATCCATCGTATGGGGGTTCCAGAGGGTGACGCACAGAGTCACGACGAATGAATAGATGTGAATAAGTCTTCAGACATGAGTGAACACAGAGGTCAATTGACTGTGGTCAGAGGGGAGCATGCCTGAACACATTGCATTTGTAAGCCTGCTGATGTGCAAGGTGTGGTTTACAAGTGGCGGGAATGTAGATGGAGAAACAAACTCACCTGGCAGTCGTAGTGTTGTGCCATATACTACCTCGGCAGCAGTACAACCAACATCAATTTTCAAGGCGTTTCGTATCCCTAGGAGAACTAACGGTAGTGATTCAGTCCAATGTGCCTTGTTTGCAGCTGATAACCCAGCCTTCAGCTATTTTTGCAGACGTTCTACCACGTCATCAGCTTGAGGATTGTAGGCTGTTGTTCTAAAACGCATGCAACCTATGATTTTAGTCAGGACGAAGAATAAACTGCTTTCGAATTGATGCCCGCGATCAGTTGTTATAGAGGATGGACATCCGAAACTTGTGATCTATTGTTTGACAAAGACGCGTGAGACTGTTTTGGAAGGTGTTCAACAAGATTTACATGAATGTGTAAGAAACGAGCGTCAAGGACAGGGAAGGTGTCAAGAGGGCTTCTTATGTGTCTTTCTACCCTAGGCTTTCAGCAAGCTAAGCGCATGTGAGCCCATTCCCTTACTTCTTTTTAATACCAGGCCAATAAAACCTACTAGTTATCAGCTTGACGGTAGTTCAAATGCCTGGGTGTGATAAGCCATGCAACGTATTGAAGACGTTACGGCGATAACTTTTAGGCACGATGGGGCGAGGAGTACTAGTGGAAATGTCACATAAAACAGTGTCAATTCCTATGTCTAAGGGTATCTCGGCTAATTGCAGAGTTGTTTTCGACAACCCATGTTGAAGCTCGGTATCTTCCTTTTGAAGACAAGCCAGTTTTACAAGGTCTATGCCATCTATTTAGGTGAGGGAACAAACGCACGACATTGCATCTGCCACAGTCTTGTTCACTTAAGATACATAGTGAATATCCGGTGTAAACTGTGAAGCGTAGTTCAGTCGTCCTGATTCTCTAGATGAATCCTTATCTGAAGCTGAGTTCAGAGAGTACGTCAGAGGTATGTGGTCAGTAAAAATTATGAATTCACGATACTCCACTGAATATCGGAAGTGGCGTACAGTACATAGTCAGAAGTTCTCTGTCGAATGTGCTGTACTTGGTTTCTGCTAGTTGTAGACGCCCCGAGATAAAGTCGAGTGGTTGCCACTGTTTGCTGACTAGTTGTTGTAGAAGCGCGTCGATTGCAGTGTCTGATGAATCAACTGGGATACTTAACGGTGCCGTTAGGTCCTGGTACATAAGATGGGTGGTGTCCGCGACGGTTTTTTTAACATGAGTGAAAGCACTTCTAGCGGACGCGTCGAGTTCGATGGACTTTTTATTTCCTCGGAGAAGGTCTGTTAGAGGATGAATCAGGGAAGCACAGTTAAGAATGAGGCGTCAGTGATAACTTACCAAGCCATTGTATTATAAGGTACAATATTAAACGTAACATTTATTTTATCTTCATCCTTTTGAACGTACCAAATGCCGAGAATTGGCGATATATCCGACGCTTACATCAAGAGTGTGAGAAACCTTGGCACAGTGCATTAACAGCAGTGTTGAATTTAAAAGAGTGCATTTAAACACACTGAATGTAATAAGCTAATCAATAGGAAGGCGAACAAAACAAGTATCAGTTTCACAGTAAAATTCAGTTACAGTAGCAAATATTAAGTCTAACTTCTACAGTTTGTTTGAAATGTTTTTGCTGAGGATTTTGTTAGCAATTTAGAGGTTGGAGGTATCGACGTTCGCGAGTTGTACGGATTATACTAACGCAAGATCTTATACCAACAACTTCTATAGTGTTTGTTCTTCGAGTACCAAAGATAAAGCAAAAGACCAGATTTTGTCGTCCAAAGTACGTAGTATATTTCGGGACAAAATCGCGGGTAGAGGTGTATGCTTAGCTAGCTAGTAATCGTGCACGCACTTGACACGACGGAGTACCAAATGGCGGGGATGCTTGACCGTAAGCCTTCAGCTAAACAAGTCAACTTAAACAGTGAGGGTCAGCATCCAATGTTGAGTGATGATTGCTGTGGTCAATAATTTTGGCGAATTATTTACCGCTACAGCAACTTTGTCACACATTTTGTGGGTGTTCAAAGTATATATGACATAGGGATTGAAGCAGCATATATGCTTAGAGAATTCATTCAGTCACTGCATAATTTATCAGTGAGAATTAGTAAGATAACACCAGGTTTCAAAATAGATACTGGTATAATAATTTAAAGGATAAAACTAGGGATTAGTCACAAGTGGCTGCAGTTATCTTCTCACCTAGTTATACTTACATAACGTTAGTCCTGAAACAGTTAACAGGTTTAAGAAATGGCGATAACTGGACTGTCCAAAATGAGGTGTAAGTTCCCCGTCGTTGTTGCCAAACTTCAATGTTTATTTAGCTTATCTTGGATTGTGCATAAATAACAAAACGAAATACGATAACGTGTCAGAGAGCAAGGACACTTGACTCAGAATCTTTAAATTAACGGTATGGTTAAACCATAGCAGCCACACAGACCAAACACGTGAATCTTATTGACTATCGAAGGTCATTTATTCTCATGGCTGCTGTGATTTAACTACAATGGGATGGTGATGATTGCTGTATTAAAAATCTGGTTAGCAGTGGGATTTCCACGTACTTGGCTTGATTGTCGCGGTGGATTGATAAGTTAATCAATAGTCTAGCCCAGTGAACCAGTTAGTGTTGCCTCAAGATGAAGTTCTAGGGGAGGAAACTGATTAGGACTCTGATAAAACATAGATTTTCACTTCATCCACTGAACCATCGTTGTGTATTACGGACTAGTAACTAAGACTGATCATAAACTGTCTCAATGAATACATTATAGTGCGAAATCTACACTTTAAATGTACTGATTTTCTAAATTTCAGCCATTTCTAAATACTTCTTTTTTCCAATGTTAATGAAGCACTTCCTTTTTTTGTACTTCTGGAAAATCTTTGTATGAAAAGCGGCATTTTCACTTTGGTTTATTCACCTTTTTTTAAACTGTATGATTGAAACACATGCTATTCATACTCTCGTCAACATGTTTTTTTCGATCTTAAAATCATTTAACAAAAATGATTGAGATTTTGGAATAAATGCGACTCGTTTATATTACTAATTTTTCTCACATCTTTGAACAAATAACTTACAAAGAAAACTCATTTTCTGAAGTTTCACATGTATGCACAGACTAGTAATGAGATCAACTGCAAGTTTCATCCAGCTTAAGATTCTTTTTTTTTTTAGTATCTTTTCAACTTAGTGTGTTGCTCTAAACGTAAGCAAATTTAATCACTTCCACTAAAAACTGATTTTATTTCATTTCATCTTCTACATTTGTTCCGGTCAGTTTCTCACCACTTTACGATCGACAATTATCGGTTCTTTAAACTGTTATTACCTACCATTATTTTTATACGGATTCTAAATAGCGGATTAACTCAATAATATTTGAGACCAGGAGTATTTACTGATAGACGATATACAGTGATGGCAAAAATATAAAAGCTTACATAGGGATTTCAGTTTGCACAAGTCCTTTAAATCCAGCTTCATTTATCTTCCTTGCATTCTTTCTACATTGTTTTAAAGGATCTGACATTTCTCCTTTTCGGAACCTAGTCCATGGCTTCGGTATTCAAGGTTTTTCTAAATGATAACACATACAATAAACCGCTTATAGGTACTTATTTTTGTTTGATTGGTGGGAGGATTTCATCATGAGCTGACATCAGTTAAAGAACCATTGGAAAACCAACTGGCAGTACTGGAGAGCTGTTTCGCCCTAGTTTGAGACTCGTCAGTCATCAGTACACACCCAATGTGACAAGTAGGATATAGAAGGTTGAAGGTGAGTCAGTAACTCATCGAAGAAGACATTGCGAAATAGTCCCGCTATGTCATGAATTGGCAGAAGTTAGAATTCATACACTGGCTGGCCATTGCATCGGGTCCCAGTGGCTTAATGGTCTACGAGCTAGCTCGCCTTGTAACCACAAGGTCGTGGGTTCTAACCCTGTCGGTGGGTGCGTACTGCTGAGGCGGAGTCTCAAACTAGGACGAGACAGTTGTCTGTCCAGTACTCCCGGTTGGTTTTCCAATGCTTCTCTAACTGATGTCAGCTGATAATGAAATCCTGCAACCAATCATACCACTTATAAATTCTTGTCAGTGGTATATGCCACAATTATGCCTAATATTCATTTTCAATGTATTCACTTATTTTCGAAGCATATTGCAGAAAATAGGTTTTATTTAATGCCTACGTATCAGTTACATTCTTTCACTAACACTTTTCCATTGCATTAAATGTGAAGCAACATAGTCTCCATTAAAAAGTTCTTTACAAATCTGTATCGTCTAAAGGAGATTTGAAATTTCAGATTCACTGAGTAGTTGTCTCACTCCAGGTTAACATTCATTGAAAATACTCACTCCGTCATTTTATGAGGGATAAAAATGCATGGTATCCATGTATGCATGTTATTGACAGAAATTAGAGACTACTGATCACTGTACTCCAACTCCAAATCCAAGTGTTGATGAGAAGTTCCAAAATGGATTGAAAAGCTGTTCAGCTTGTCTTAATCCTACACATTTAAATAAGTCTCTATAAACACAACAAGTGAATTTTGAAATGACCGTTACACACAACTGTTTCTGTTTGTTCGTTATCCAATAAACTACTCAAGTCATTTATAATTGCTGGATAAAACCTTAAAATTACATCTTTATTAATTTGTTCTGATAAATGTCCTTCCATTATGTTTTTTCTTCTCGGTGTAAACATACATAAGCTGGGATTAAATTTCTTTTTTACCTTCAGAAGATCACTGTACTACAAGTGAAATAGGCAAATGTTTTCGTGACAATCTTTTTGAAGCTTGCGTACCAGAAATATCTTACAGTTACTTCTTATAGAGCTTTCCAATATTTACAGGACTTTCTTTTAACGTTACAGTAAAGCACCAACAGAATTTCAGTTGTAATGTAGTATAAAAGGAAGAGGCTGAATGCTTAAGTAAAGTCAACAATTCCACAAATCAAAAGTACAGCTCGAACAGTTCATACCGTTAGTTTACGTAACAGCTCTAACAAAATGACTGGTAGATGAAAATATGGACCATAAACTAAGCAATAAGATATCGCGAAGTAGTGAAATTAAGCAACAGAACAAAATACAAAAGCACACATACAGAACAATTACAGTTATCTCTATCTGCATAGGTTGGATCGAAGTCTTCTGATGCCATCTTTCTTAGAAGTCATTCCCATCAAAAGATTTTGACCCATCTTCTGCATACAGAAAGATAACAGGATAAATCTCTCACTACCCTAGTAACTGTAATTGTTTTGTTCATATGTTTGCGCGACATCTCATTTGACTTTAATTTTCGCTTACTGAGTAGAACTCACTACTAGGTTCCTTAATTTACCTAAGTGTTTGTCTATGGCATAAGTATACTTTTAATTTTCAGTCCGATTGGCTTGAGCTTGTTGCTGCTGCTATTTTTTGACTGAACTAGCGTATACACATATCCTAATACTTCCTCGCGTTTACAATTGTGCCCTAACGTTGCGATTACTCGACATCCGCAACGTAATTCAAAAGGCACTTGCGAAGGAATACGATAGTGTATTATTGCAGCAATCAACAATTCAAAAATCGAGCGAGTACAAAAAGTATCAATTGTTAACATGCAAGATCTAGAGTAATAAACAAATCAAAGTACAATTACATAGTGAAAGTATACTGCGATGATGAGTAATAAAACGGGTTACTACAAGCTTTCCATCATATTATGTATTGATTCAATCTTTTCTTCGATCTTGCACTCTGTCTCTAGTCTCTCCTCGTTTCTAAACTCTGCTACTATAATTAATTAGCCTATTAACACTGAACAGTTCGTCTGCTTACATCATATTTCAGAAGTATATTGCTTAAACTTCCCACCTATATCTCGACGTCACTGTGAGAAAAGTATGTTCAAACATTTTGTAATTTATAATTTCATTTTGTTTAGAATGTACGCAGTTGAAAAGAATCCACGAAATAAAACGAGTACGTATTATCCTGCAAACATGTTTGTTCTTTATTGTTCAAACTAAGAAAGGGGACTGGTTGTATGAAACTAATTTTAATGTATCTGTAATCACCTTGGTGTTTAGAAATAATTTGTAAAACAAATAGAAATTTATTCATCAAGTATTAACTTGCAAGGATATGATTGGTTACAGGACTGAACATGAACTGACATCAGTAAGGAAACCGCTAAAAGACCTTAGAGTACTAGTTTGGGACTCATCGGTAGTACTCACCCACCGCGACTCACATCCAGGACATTCCAGTCACGAGGCAAGCTCGTAGACCATCCAACCCTTTGGACTTGACCCCATGGTCCATGAATTCTAACTTCTGCCAATTCATGATATATATTTAGCGCAACCGCCAGCCAGTTTCACAGGACAGTAGCTGTCCTTTTACTTGACTGGGTGTACCCCGCTGGTCACGACTTCTCACTAGAATCCCAGGTAACATCCTGTATAAGGCCAGTAGCTAGTTAGTGTCAGATTAATGATCAAGTGTTGGTTTGCAGCAACACTACTACGACAGTTTTAAAAAAACTACAATCTGATGGAGATGTCTTTATCGGTGCTACGTTCACGTCAGTGTATTTCAAATCACCAGCTGAAATTCACGTTATACTGTCTCTAAAATAGAAATAGAAATTCATTTTTTTTTCAGGAACTACTCGTTAGATGCATGTTTTCGAAATATTGTCTACCTAGTCTTCAAACGGAACATATACGTTTAATAATACTGAGTAGTATGAGTAAATGGATATAGCTAACAATGAAAATATACCCCTTGTGAGTAGCTAATTAGATATAGATTTAGGATTTCAGGTTGTTGGCTTTCCTCAAAATGGGATATCTACAAATTTGAGGAAAAATAATATTGAAAGCCGTTTTTATATCAGTCTTGTGATTCATATCAATTCGGCATTCTGCTGCAAATAACGTTGCTTGTGTAACACTGGTGTTTATCGAGGCTTTATAATTTAATTGATGATATTATTGTGATATGCAATAAACATAGAGATGCGATTTGTCAACTGGTACTTAGTACAAAACCACATAAATCCTATACGTGAGGATGAAAGTACCAATCAACTTGCATTCCTAGACACACTTTTAAGTAGGAGAAAGGATGACCAAATAAACTGGTCGATTTGTAGATAGCCTACTTGGACAGGGAAGTATTCAAATTACCACACTTTTCGTCCATTACAATATAAGAGGGGCTTGGATAGGTGTTTATTCAAGAGGATTTAGTGTATTTGTACAGCTGATGCCAAGGATGGTGAGAATAAGATATTGACGGGTACACTTGTTGAAAATGGATATCCTTTGAAGTTATTAAACTAATGTAGAGGCCAGTTAGTTTCAAAGTCGACAGTCTATTCAGTCCCCGAAAGAGACGTTTACATTAAATTATCTTTCAATGGGGAATTAAATAGTAGGATTTTAAGACGCTCATCCATAAAACTTACTATGCAGCCCTACCTATAATTATCGAAAACATGCTTTACTACAAGCCTCAGCATTGCATGAGTGATTATGTCACATTACATACTGTATACCAATTTATATATCTGTATGTATATGTGTGGTCACACATACGCATAGGGAGAAGTAATCACCCCTTGCAACCTCAGGGTGGAAGAATATATGCCCAAGTGACTTTAAAAAAGCTGAAATGTGAAACCTCTACAAACTCAGTTACCAGACTACCTACTTCGTCTATAGCAACAAAATAATATTTCCTAAGAGATTTAATTGATAAGCTAAGTTAACCGTTTCACAAATGACATTTCTAGGAATAAATAAGTTAATGTAATATTAATCATTGAAGCTCTGAATCGACAGTGTTGAATTAAATCTACTTATTGATCAAGTTCCCAATGTCCCTGTATTAAGGTAATCGAGATATGTTTAGCTTGGCATGTTAAAAGTTCATCAGTATCATGTTTATGAAAAGATCTGTGCCTTCCTAGATAGCATCTTACTGATTCAATCTCTAAAATCGTACTCATTATGTAAGTCATTTAAGACAATCCTAATCAAAGGCTATTGAAGAAACTAAATCTAAACAAATAGTTTCATTAATCTAAAATATATTTTTAAATAATATACCATACTTATATCCACTTTTTTCCCAAAAGCAGCGATTTTTGATTGCCAGGTAGTACAGTATCATGTCACCTGTAACTTTGTAAACTAATAAAGTCTATAATTACTGGATAGTTGGAAGCTGTCAACTTTAGAAGGTACTACAGCTAGAGATGTTATCTTTGAACTAATCAGGCTGACGACTGACCTCTTGTGAGAGTGTAATATTTGTACTAATTAGTCTATAAACTGTAATGAGTAGTGCTGTGTGAATTACAACACTTTGAATACATTACACAACATTTTACCAATCAAGTGGCAATATGTTCGCTTTACGAGTTCGTCTTCTGCATACAGTTGAAGCCATCGGATCTCGTCTTTCCAACTCACATCATTTATAGGTACAACATTTTCTTTCTTTCTTTTCCTTTTCTCTATCTCTCTCTCTTTTTTCCCGTTATGTGCTGCTTTATTTCTTTCTCTCGCTTACACCAGTAAATATGACAGCTCCCACTTTTCTAACACCTTCAAACACTGTTTCAGCTTTCCTTTGCTACCGATATGCCAATGTGTTGTTGTAATAATGAACTGTGATTTCCTTAATCTATGTAGAATTCTATTTATTGATAATGTACTAACTGGATGCAATACTGTAGTAAAAATGCTGAGAATTCCATTCTGTATCACATGTACTGTTTTGGAATAAAGCAAATTATTATTATTATTATCTGAAGAAGTCGAACCTGTGTGTTCAGAAGAAATTCATGCAGCCGCTTTCTTCACTTTGACCATCGTTAAGGGAATACAGAAACCCGACAATTTAAAAAATATCTTGCAATGATTGTAAGGTTAAACACATAAGGTCGAACTATTAGATTGGGGATCGTCAGATTGTCAGAACATAAGAATTTAGCTAAGGTAAGTAATTTAGAAAAAAGCTCAGGAACTGCACAGCATGCATTAACGCACAACCACACAATAGGGTGGGACAAAGATAAAATTCTAAAAAGTAATCTAGGTAGGTGGAGAGAGAGGTTGATTACGGAATCCTTATTCATTGCGTCTACACCCAACACATGCAATCGGAATGGCTCATCACTGATACCAGAGATATGGAAAATACTAATATCAATCAAATCAAGAGATAGAAAATAATGGAATTATATAAATGAAGTAGGAAAGTTGTGTGAGTGACTGGATATGATTATGAGCAATAAGTTGTGCTCGAAACGTCATCAGTAAATATTACTGTATAACATTGTGAGACTTTATCAAAATAAGTTGTACCGATAATGGAATTATAACTGTCCGAATTATTTTATTTTTTCTGACTGCTTCTTCCTTAGTTACAAGTTGTTATTGTCCAAATCATTCTATTTTTCTTTAATTGTCTATTAATTCATCAACTCTAACACTCGCTTATTGTTTAATTACTCTTCAATTGTTCCAAAATTATGCATTTTGTAATCCACTTGTTGTAACCATTTCTACCCTTTCATTGTTTGTATTAATTTTCTTCGTTAATTATTATGACTCAATATGGGAAAATTTGTTGCATTTTATTAAAAATTCTATGGATGTATATTAGGG